CATCATCATCATCATCATCATCATCATCATCATCATCATCATCATCATCATCACCGTAATATCACAGCGACAGCTACCATCAACATTCCGTTGAACAATGGCCTCCCTATGTCATCAACAGCAACAACAGTTATAGGGCACTGTCCTGAATGAGCCTACACAAATTACACAAACTACGACAGCACAAGCCGACAGCACAGGCGACCGGTCGAAGAGCTATGTCAAACCAGTAACCTATCTGTGTGCTGCAAAATTTCAACTCCACGTCTGCCTTACTTCACCTCCTGACTATCGGCCGGTCTGATCTCACCATAATATGCTCATCCGACATTTAAAGAAACAGCTTCTGTCGCATCGAAGTGATTGATGACACATAGTAATAGATAGTGATCACATGCCTATGATTACACATTACGCATTACGCATTACACGGACACGTCTATAACATTTTGATAAATAGCTTCCACGTCATCATGCGTTGAGGCAGCACCATCAGCAGATGCACCCTTTTTATTTTTTTTATATTTTTTTTGCTTTGTTTCTGTTTTGTTTTAGTTCTCAGAACTGAAGAATAATAGGGTACTCTCGTGGCTTAGGGGTTAAGGTGTTGGCTTCTCATTCAAAGGTCCAGGATTCGAATCCGGGTAGCTACCGAAACATTTTCTTATCTAAAATTGTCTCCTTTCACCTCCTGTCCTGCTCTCTAGCAATGTCGTGTGCTTTCGTATCCTCTTTCTGCCCCCACCCCCACACCTCCTTTGTCCCGTCCTCTGGGCTCCGGACTCTTTCTGCAGCCTTTCTACTGCTACTCCTTGGCTCTTTCTTACTGCTGTCTTTCAGCCACACCTCTGATCTTCTGTCAAGAAAGATCTACACCTAGCCTTCTTGGACATGGGCGAAAAATCTCGGAGGGCCCGTGTGCAAGTTGCGCACGTTAAAGATCCCTTTTTGGTCTAAAATCGATAAAAGTGGGCTTTGGTCGCCACCCGGGCAAAAAAATTAAAATTTCATAACTACTGAAAAAATTTAATTTATGTGTCCCGCGCGTTCATGTGACCTAATGTAGGTGCGAGCGCCGTAAAACACTTACAAAAACAAACATCAACGAAAATGGTAGTTGAACTTCCTCGGCCACCTGCCCTAGACATTCACCTGTTCAAAGAATCACTTTCCATTTACCCCTTGCTCTTTTTTTAACATCATAAGACACTGTCCAAGACGCTATCCTCACCAAGACAACCACTTTTTCCTCGACAACCGGGCGGCCGTCATTGACATTTTAGACCACATTTGTATCAAGGGAAACAACCTTTGATTATTACAATGCAACACAAGTCATATCCAGTCGTCTCCTTTGTGTAAATTTATTGACGAAGTTATTCTGGTGCAAGCGATTTCATTCTTCCTGTTCTTTTTTTACGCCCCTTCCCCCTCTTGTTCCTCCTCCTCCTTTTCTTAGTCCTTCCCAATTTGCTATGCATATTGCGCGCTGCCTAATTCCGTCCTTTGTTCGTTCGTTCGTTCGTTCGTTCGTTCGTTCGTTCGCACGTTCGTTCGTTCATTTGCAAGGGTCACGCCCTATTACAGAACAGAAACAAGTAGCCTACAAGAATTCAAATACCTTGGGAGCACGTTCACATCAGACGCGAAAATGGACAGAGAAATTTTTACAAGAGTACAAAAGGCAAATGCGGCCACATACCAACTAGCACCCATCCTCTCCCAACCAAGCATCCCAGTGGAGATCAGTCTTTACACCAGCTCCCTGCTGCCAAACCTGGCCCAACAAAGCAAATAAAAATAGAATAACGTAACATAATGTGGAATGAAATGACTTCGAAAACCACTAACCACCATAAGAAATATCGCAAAGAAATGAAGACATCAGACATCAAGTGGGCATTAAATCAAGCAAAAAATACACCGAGAGACAATAAAGGTAAAATAATTAATAAAATAAGATTTTATTGTCCCAGTGGGGAAATTGTCTTGGCTGTACAGAGATGGTAAAACCACATAAAGATGTACTTAGAATTTAAATTATATACTACTTTCATTTTAAAAATTCAATGTGAAGAGAAAATAAAGCTGACAATAATACACATATATCACATCAGATGCAGATCTTTCAACTACATGCAGGAATTTATCACAGACCTGTAGAGTTATATAGATATATTCGAATAGTATTATTTACTTTTTAAAAAATCAACAGCAACACCCATCAATGTTTCAGCTAATTATATCAAATTAGGTGAGATGGACGTATAATGAGAATGAGGCCACACCAACCAGCCTCCAAGGCCGGCAACCCGTGATATAATGGCTTTAATGTGTAAAGAGAGCCAAGAAAAAGAGGGATCGACCGAGTCAAAGAAGCCTTTCAAAATAACAACGTGATGATCCAAACAGCAACATACCTTGCCCAGTTCGGATAACTGCTTCTCCTCTCGACACCTTCTGGTATAAGAAAACAGATTACTTGATTACTTAATTACTCGATACTGGCAACAACACCATAGCACTCCAGGCTTTGCCATACGTGCTCCGCTCCCCGCTCCAATATCCACCTCAGAGTCAATCTGCTGATTGATCATTTGGTGAATAGCCCGTCTTTCCATCCCCTGTACCATGCTGGTTCTGCCACTTCCTCTGAAGACACCCCGTTCTTCAAGTCGTGGGACTGGCGCCTAGTCATGCTCAATCTCCTCATCTCAAAGTGTGGTGGCAAGGGCCTTGACGACATCATTTTTGTCCATTTTAATGTCAGTATTGACAGATGCATGGCTCGCCAGTTTGTTTGCTGGTTCATTTCCCACCATCTATGCTTGGAGCATAGATCCACGTTATTTTTCTCAGACTGGTTTCTTCTATGCTTTGTCATTGTGTTCCATTATCTATTTATGTTTTTACCTTTTCTGTCCTCTTATTCCACAAGGTGTCGAGGGAAGATGCAGTTGCCATATCGTGTATTTAATTATTTGTTTTAAAAAATACAACAGAGTATGTGTGTATACTAAGTAAAAGGCCAAACTATAATTTTTTAAAAGTTACGTTATGCTTGAAGCAACGATGCTGCTTAATTTCATACTGTGCTTTGGTTTGCTTTTTGGGTTGTTGGTTTTTTTTAACTTCTCAACCATGTACATGTAGAAAGAGTAGCCTTTGTTTGCGACCCCTATCCAGCTATAAATCGTGGAAAAAAAGGATTGTGTTACGCGACCATGTTCTATAATTTTTATTTTTGTTTTCAAAATGGGCCTTAGACGTAGCTTTTGCGGTTTTGCAAGATCGGGGCTTTTCTCTGAAGGTTCACTTATTTCTAATACATTTTTTAAACGGCCTTGTGGAGATTAAAAACATAAACTTTAGACATTAAGCATACAGTGATAAAAATGATGACGCGGCTGTACTGATTTTAATTATGTTGATAAGTTACAGTATTAATAATACCGGTTATAGTCTAATAATTAAAACAACATTGCAAGTAGAGGAAAAAGTAATACGCGCACACCTATTGTAATATTACTAGTAATCTCTATTTCTATATTATATTTGTGACAGTTCACACTTTGGCCCCCTAAAACTTCCGAACCAAATTTTTACTTTCGAATATGACTAAATTAATCGTGGTTCAGAATTTATTAAAGGGTGCACAGTTTCATTAAGGGCATAAAGTCACAGTAGTTTAATTTTCAGTTTTTCATTAGTTTAGTTTAGATCTAATCTTTGGAAAGTCTGTCTTTTAAGGCGCCATTGTAAACAAGTGAGGCTTCCGTTCTCTATGCCGTTCCCACTGATTCCACACCTTTGAAATTATGGAGTGTACAACCACGAAAGCTTAATAGAGAATCAATCTACACATCATTTACATCACATTTGGCAACTTGGAAACACATGTGTCACTTCTCTCTCAAGATTTATTGCTCCATTCCTGTAGAGTGTAAATATAGTAGGCCAATGACTTTCAGTTGATGTTAATGCACCAATCATTCCTTTCAATGAAAGGGGGTACAGAGAGTAATTATATAATAATAATGATAACAATGATAAAGGATGGTGAGATGCAAACAGCTGTGGAAGGTATAAGAGTTAAGAGCAGGTAGGACGCAATGACACACAAACCCCTTCAATTAAAGCACCATTAACAACTACGAAGAAATGAGGAGTTTTCAAATCTGCAGCCACAACAATATTATAGGTACTAAGCAAAGATACAAGCACAGTACTTGTTTTATTAGGAAAGATAAAAAAAAGCGACAAATTTGTTTGATTTATACAAGTATTGAAAAAAGTTGAAAGTGTCTCGCCGAAGAGGTCTCCAGAAGTATAAGTACACGTTTATATTTACCCTTGTATGGTTTTGATTTGAGCTTTTTACCAACAAAAGCAATTGCTCTAGTTGAAGTTTTCATTGTCAGTGTTAGATCACTTTAAAGAAATTGAGTCAAAAACAAGAGAGAGAGAGAGAGAGAGAGAGAGAGAGAGAGAGAGAGAGAGAGAGAGAGAGAGAGAGAGAGAGAGAGAGAGAGTTAAAAAGGGACTCTGTGAAGCTTGTGGAGCAACCAATGAATAGCAAAACTCTCAAAATGCAATATAAAACAGACATCGGTCAGAGGATGATCATATCCCCGGCAGATAGATGCTGGTGAACAAGACGTGAGAACGAAGGAAACAATTACTTCAGAATATCAGAAGCAACTATTATAGTTATTGTTGACGTATAATGCCCTGCAGCTAAGTATCAGATTCACATCAAGTTATTTCAGAGACAGCGTACTTGGTCCATTGACAGGAATGATATTGCAGGAAAACATAAGAAATCAACAAGAACCACAGTCAGATTGTAGCCGCAAACTTCTGCTTGGCAGGCCAGGTTCGTAAACTACGACATCATAGGCACGTAAATAACGAGGTATGTATAACGTATTCAGCGGACCAATCTGATAAAATGTGAATGAACACCTATACGCGCAACATAACATTAAAGATGATAACTTTGATAAACGATAGCAGAATAATAATTATAATAATAATAATAATAATAATAATAATAATAATAATAATAATAATAATAGTAATAATAATAATAATAACAATAACAATAATAATAATAACAATAACAATAATAATTTTAAAAAATAATAATAATTTAATAATGATAATAATAATGATAATGATGATGATGATAATAATATTTAAAAATTACATTTATACAGTGCTCAATCCCGATTAAAGAACAAAGGCTCTGAGCGCTTCACAATACAATAGAACAGTAACATAAAACGTTGTGTTCTGATCAGAAGAAAATCTTTCAACATATTTATCGTATTAATTTAAAAACAGAAATGACTTCAGCTGACATTTACATGAATCAACGGATTTGATCTCTCTTAAAGTACTTGGCAAAGCATTCCAGATCTTGAGGCCCTCATATTCAAATGCCCTTTCACCCATTGTTTTAAGATTCATAGATGTTAAAAGAAATATTTTTTGTCAGCTGATTACCTTAAACTGCGAGTTGAAATGTACAGTCTCAACAGATTTGATAAATTATATGATGGCACATTATCATTCAAGAATTTGTGACATAGGATGGCCAACTTGTACACAATTCTTTTCTTAACAGGAAGCCAAAACAATCTCCATTAAAAAAAGGTGTAGCAGAATCGCACTATGTAAGTTGGGCTGCTTGCTACCGCTCAACGAATATACTCCACGGGACGACGTATTCGGATAATTCAAAGAAAATTCACACTTGCAGGCGGTAAGGTTACCCGGTGTTCAGATCTCCTACTAAATAAACTGAAAGACTGGACAGTCACCTTCAGCTATGAGATTTTTCGTGGCTTACCTTTACTTTTAATGAATAAACAGCGACGGCATTTGCGTGAATAGATTCATAATGAGAAATCGAAAAGCTGAACCACTGAAAAAGCTCTTTGTGTTATATTTATAAGACATTGTATGTACATTTAGATCAAGTTCATCAGAAAAAGGTATTGAAACGTCATTTAAAGGTATTGAAATCATTTGTAGGTATTGAAATTGCCTTCCCAGAAATTGCTCTCCCTCTCAAAATAGTCAGTTCAAATGAATTGAAGGAAAGATGCTGGAACTCAAACATCGAGCAAAAGGATACACGTGATATCGCACAATTGTGGTGCGGTTTGGTATTTTTGATAGGGGGTGGGGATCACCCGGGTAGTGACAGGTATATGTACATTTAACGCCCTGCTTGGAAATACGTTTGTACATGTAGGTGAGCGGTACGACAATTTTAGCCTCTCAAAGATAACGGAAGTGGATGCCGGCTTTAAAAAGGTTGATAAGCACAGATGATGTCCAACAAAATAAATAATGTACAAAGTTTGGCTGACTGCGCAGCAGGTCCCCCGATGTCTGACGTGTAACAATCCTCCATAAAACATCGTTTGTTTTCACGACTCTCACCTCCATCCACCCTCCCTAGTTCTGCCCCATCGTAGAGAGTACAAGTTCACAAAATAAGCCACAACTGACATGCAGTCCGCCAAGACGATGAGAGAGAACACGAGGAAAACGATAGCAATTCCGATGGACATGCCGGTGATCTGAGCCGAGGCGCGTGTGTCACTGGCACTCGTCTTCTTCCTCACATTAGCAGACAGCTGGCTCACATTGACGCTCAGACGTTTCTGTGTGTCCTTTATGTTCTTCTGAACCTGTGGAGGAGGAGAGGGGAGAGCAGATTTAGCGCTTTATTTATTGGCAGGGGTTAAATGAAAAAAAGAGGTAAGTCATAGGAATCCTATCATGACTTACCGTGTATTTCACTTTCTTAATGATGACTTGGCTTGTTCTTAATTTGATTTCCTTTTATAAAAACAGTTTGTGAATGATTAAGTTGATTTTTCGCTTGATATATTTCAAGGGGGATATTCTACAGGTATTGTTGTAAGTTTAGAGTTAAAACCCTGATTTATTTACAACATATATCTATCTTGTTATTTACTTGCCACTTTCATTTGTTTATTCATTTGTGTAAAAAGAAGCGAATCGACAAATAACGGTCATTGAAATTTAATGTAGGGTAAAAGTAAGTCGGACAGAGTAAGTCGAAACAGAAAACAGAGGGAGAGAAAAGAGGTAGTATCAGTGGCACACTCCAACTCCGAGCAGTAAACCAAATAAAACAAGTGTATTTGCAGGAAATATGATAGTCCTTCACTCTGAACTATCGGAGGTTCGTTTACAAAGTAACCTTCGTCCTCTTAAGAAGAAGAAGAAGAAGAAGAAGAAGAAGAAGAAGAAGAAGAAGAAGAAGAA